CGATTAAAATGATTTTTAAACATCATTTATATAGGGGTGTGAAAAAAGTGTCCCAGAAGCCCCCTTTTCGCCCTACTACTTGCACGGTAAGCTTAATAAAATCTGTATCATATTCTTTTTTGTTTTGTTTTATTAAATTTCTAATCACGGTTTTTAAATCATTGCCTTTTAATTCTGGTGGACGTTTGGTTGCAGCACGAACCTAAGAGATGTGATGATAATGCTTATGTTTAAACTGCACAACATAATCACTAAGTTGTCTAACTTTATGGATTACACGGTCTTTAGATTTTTGTAACTTTTTAATATCTTTTTTAAGTTGTTTATTTTTATTATTTAATTCTTCTAATGATTTTCCAGGTTTATAAAGTGAATTAGAGACATATTGAATTGCTTTGTTTTGTATATAGGGTGATATAATTTGGTTTTTATTTTTTCCATGCGGATATCTCATCATACGCAAAAGATGAGATGTTGATTTGAGATCCGTTTCAGACATGTCCTTAAGGGTATTAACTATTGTATTATATACTTTAGAAGAATCAGAATTATTAACGTTTGAGGCATTAACGATCGTATCATGGATCGTTTTAAGTTCTTGATTAGTAGTTTCTTTTAAGTGATCTGTGATTTCATCAATGGTTTTTTGACGCTGATTTAATTTGTGCTTTTTGTCACACACTTTACGCGTGCGTTTTAGGTGAAGTTTACGTTTAGAAGGATTAGGCATTGTGTAAAAGAATTCGATTTAAAAATTACAGAATAAATTTTTTGAAGTTCGCTTGATACGCTTTTCATTTTTTATTTATAAAGGCCAAGTTGAAACAATTATGAAAGTAGAATTAAAAAATTTTATTATTGGAGTTAGTTAAATTTTCGCGACTAACTTGACACTATATAAACAATTACAAGAGTCAATTCATAAGAATCGCAATTAAAAAATCAATTCATAACAAACGCAATTATAAATTCATTTCGTAACAAACGCAGTTACAAAGGACATTTCACAACATTTAGTTAAATATATATGTATTTGCAACAAAAACCGTACTTTAAAATTCTTCAGCACTAAAACTAGCTCGAATTTGTTGACAAAACTTGATATATAATAAGATAATATGTATTACTTTAAACCTATAGAACGAGATTTTTAGTAACAAAGGCCGACTCACCAACAAACGTCATTATTTCTGATTAAAAAACATTAAATAAGAACAAAAGACAAGTTCCCGCTAATGCAATACTTGAAAGCGTCCAATTTATTAAAAATTTTAGACTATAGCTTTATTTGATTATGCTTTATGAGTCGTTTGTTATGAAAATTACAGTAAGAAAATAAATTCTATATGAGTTGAAGCGATTTTTGAACACTAATCTTTCGTTAATAAATCTTCGCAATTTTGCCGATCAATTTTATGCATAAAATCTAGCTATAATAACATTATTAATGCACATCACATAGTTTTGATTAATTAGTATATCGGAAACCCCATTAGAATATCAAATTATGGTGCAAACACCACTGGTGTGATTTAGTAAAGTCAAAATAACAACATTATTAAATATCTACATAATAAATAATGCCAATGACTAGAGATAGTAGGGTTGTTAATGGTGCAGCATACTCTGGAGCCACTTCAAGTTGCTAGAACAAACCTGGCACATGTATGGAGCAAGTCTAATTTAATGTGGGATCAACTCAACAAACCAACCTATTAACAACCCTTGGATACTGTGGAATCGGAGTTTTGTGTCTAATCTGACGCACAGCATCATGAATTAAATAGTTAACAAGACATTATTAAACCACCTGGCCTATTTTTCCTGACCTCAAAAAAGGAAAGAAAAAGACATTACTTTTGACCCATGTAAAGCGATACGTATGATAATCATGAGTCAATTAATTGTGTGGTCTAAAAGTATAATACTCCTCACAACTTTTAGGGGTCTAAAATGTATATTAAATCGATAGTTATAATTGAAAGTCCAACGACAGGTTTTCCCTTGGCGACACTCATATAGTGCAACCTATATCTCCTATGCTAACTATAGTATTCCTCTGACTATAATGCCTATATATGCAGATAACGTAAAGTATCTCGGGTATTTTAGATCACACTGTACGGTATTATAAATACATGTGGTTTTTAATTTTTCGCTGTTTAAAAAATTATGTCACACAAAGTACTGTATACAACGCTTTACGCGGTATAATGAAAGAAAATTAATTTTAATTGCAATTATTTGTCATTAATTGGGTTTCAATTAATTTTGATAATTTTAATTGATTTTAATTGTAGTTGATTTTTCGATAGGCCTGCCCCAAAGTGCAGATCGATGGCGCAGCCGCAGCATAAAATTAGATATAGTAATATTAAAAGTTATGTAATTTGATTGGTTAATATTCCTAAAAACTGGTCTGTTACACAGCATATTTAAAAAATCTATATATTGTGCCATAACGATAACGTCGAAGTTAACCACGCTTCCACATTTACCTAAAAAAAAAAAAAAAAAATCTCGCAGGGAGCAACTCAACATGAATATTAAATTGCCTGGTGCCGAAATTGGCAAAGTCGTGACTCGATTTCCACCGGAGCCTAGTGGATACTTGCATATCGGACATGCCAAAGCCGCAATGCTAAATCAATATTTTGCGCAAGAATATAAAGGAAAAATGATTTTAAGATTTGATGATACAAATCCTACTAAAGAAAAGGCATGTTTATTATTTAATATATTAAACTAATTGAATTATGTGCTAATTTTATTAATCCATTTAATATATATATAAAAAGGAAGAATTTGAAGAATCCATCAAAGAAGATTTAACACTGCTTGGTATACATGCTGATCAAATAACTTATACTTCGGACCATTTTGAGGAGCTTTATCAATATGCTATCAAGATTATCAATAAAGGATTAGCTTATGTAGATGATACTGATGTCAATACGGTATTTATAAAATTATTGCTTACATACCATTATTTTATAATTAATGTTTTCCAAAATAAATTTAGATGCGCACGGAGCGTATGAATGGTATTGAATCCAAGAACCGGAATTTATCTGTTGAAGAGAATCTTCAGAGATTCCAAGAAATGTTTGAAGGTACCGAATTTGTAAGTAGATAACTCAGTTTATATTCAATATAATTTCAAATTTTATTCATTATAATTATTTTTTAGGGTCTGAGCTGTTGCCTGCGTGCCAAAATTAACATGAAGAATCCCAATAAGGCACTCCGTGATCCGGTTCTATATAGATGCAACATATTGCCTCATCATCGTACTGGGTAAGGTAACAGTTGTACTATTATTTTTCAGTCAATAATACTTATTAACTACCAATTTTACTCAGAGATAAATGGAAAATTTATCCTACGTATGATTTTGCATGCCCAATCGTTGACTCTATCGAAGGTGTTACGCATGCATTAAGAACTAATGAATATCGTGATCGTAATCCTCAATATGATTGGATACTTGATGCCTTAGAATTAAGGAAAGTGTATGTTTGGGATTTTAGGTATGTAATAATGCATGATATCTTTAATTACTGTTCCATTTCTGTTTTATGTATTCACGAATTATTTTATTATAGTCGGTTGAACTTTGTATATACTTTATTATCAAAACGTAAGCTACAATGGTTTGTAGATCAAGGTCTTGTCGGCGGATGGGATGATCCGAGATTTCCAACTGTTCGCGGTAAGTTATCTTATTATACCAAAGATGCTTGGTATATAAAGTTGTTCTCAATATAGTGAAGTGGTCATTATGTACTATATGGGGGTGAGTCAACATAAATCAAGCAAATTTCTTATAATAAAAATTTTTTAAACCTTTAAACTAAAATAATTTAACAAAAACTTGATCAAATTTTTTTACAAAATTTTTTATCAAATTTGATTGAAGTTTTTGTTAAGTTATTTGTATTCAAAGTTTTAAAAAAAAACTTTATTATAAAAAATTTGCTTGATTTCTATTGACTCACCCCATATTGTGAAAATTTATACTGATTGGTCCTTGGTCCAACTTTACTATATCAAGAGTTCACTATAACGAGAGTGACTTGTATTTATACATAATTGTCTTTGAAAATCAATATTTGATTACTGGTAATTACGGAGAGGTTTTTTTTATTGGGTAAAAAATAATAAATGCATAAATTTTTGGCACTTTAACAAATGACCTTTATTAATTGTTTATTTACACATTTGAAAGTATATATTATATATAATTATATTTAAATTGAATAATTTATCATCAAATTTAGGCATACTCCGCCGTGGAATGACCGTCGAGGCTTTGAAACAATATATTCTTACTCAAGGTGCTTCAAAAAATACGGTAATGCTGGAGTGGGATAAACTATGGGCTTTAAATAAGTCAGTTATTGATCCCATTTGTCCAAGACATACATCAATGTTAAAACCGAACATGTAAACACGGTGTTTATTCGTCTATACATTAAAACATTATTTTTCAATTTGAATGCTGGTAATTAATTATCTTTATATTAGTGTTAAGGCTAGTATTACTGGTGGTCCTGAAGTTCCCTACACAAAAGACTTACCAAAGCACAAGAAGAATCCTAATGTAGGAACAAAGAAAACATGGTTTTCTTCGACCATTTTTATTGACCAAAATGATGCTAAGACATTTGAAATTGATGAAGAGGTAGTGATAATATAATGTTTTAATATTTAAAATTTTTAATGTTAAATTCATTGCGATCAACAATAGATAACACTTATGGACTGGGGAAATGCTATAGTTAAATCTGTTCATAAATCAGATTCAGACCCTGAAACAGTGTTAGGGTTAGATTTACAACTTCATTTGGAGGGTGATTATAAAAAGACTAAGAAAAAGGTTACTTGGTTGGCTGATACCGAAGATGTCTTAGAAATTGTGTTGGCCGACTATGATTATTTGATCAATAAGCGGAAATTGGAAGAAAATGATGAAGTCACGGATTATGTCACTGAGAAAACCGAATTTTTAACTAGTGCTGTTGCAGATTCTAATGTGAGAATGCTTAAGAAAGGTAGAGTTTTATTTCAATTTTAATTGTTTTTATATTGACTAATTATTAATTAAAGATTCTTTTAATTTTATAGGTGATATAATTCAGTTTGAAAGAAAGGGATATTATATACTGGATGATAATATTTCTACCACATCTGTTCCACGTTTTAATCATATTCCTGATGGCAAGGCTAGTAGTATGGCTTCTAAAGCTGCGAGTGGTAAAAAATCTTAGCCAAGTCTATAATTTTGATACGGCTAAGCCGGCCTACTCGGTTATTGTCTCAAAAAATTAAACTATAATCGGAAACTTTACTGGTTACGTTCGTATTTTATTTTACATAAAATAAATAAAATGTATAATATTCCAGAAGTAATAAGGATTTAAACCTGCCTTGAAACATTAATTAAAAATAATTGAAAGTGAAATTTTACATATGGGGCCCCCACAGCAAAAAGAGGAAGTGGGATAATCATGTGATTTTGAAAAATCATAATTGTCATGTGATTGATAAAACATAATAACAAGATAAAAATTTTTTTTTTTATAATTTGGCAATCCAGCCCTCTTTATTTGGGTATTCAGATTATTTGACGAATTACAATAAATTCTTCCCTATAGCTTTTATCGAACACCGACTCAAAGAGGCTCACCGGCTTATGCCCAGATGTGACCAGCCTCAATAAAACTTGGTCTCTCTCCGGGTTCTTAACTTACTAAGGACTTAAACTCTTCAGTCAATGGCTGGCATCCATATGTCTAGCTATACTTCAATATTTATATTTAATCCTAGTCTAACTATTCTAATTATTTGAAAAATTAAGATTAAACAAAGAAAAACTAAAATTAAAATATATTTTAACCTGTGCATAAGACTAAAAATTATATATTACATGATTACAAAATATTAGTATATTT